GAAAACAAAAGGAAGAATAAGATGAGCAGTGCTATATTCTTAAAGTTTTATCTGCAGCAATATGCACATCAATTGAAAGGGGGAAGAACAAGGGGTTGAAAACGCAGCCCAGCGGTCGGGTCCATGAGAGCAGGTACTTGGTTACTGGTCTCCTTTTTTTTTAAGAAGTGTTTGTTGGATGAGTCTGTGGTGCCTGAATGAATGGCAAGGGGCCATCCAGGTAGAAATGTGTAGGAGATAAAGGCTGGGCTCGGAGCTCAGAGTAGAAGTTAGCAACTGGTAGCATGGATTTGGGAGTTGTCCGTAACTGATTGAATCCTTGAGAGGTATATGAGATTGTAAAGGAGAGAGAGAAGGTGAGCAGACTCAGGGTAGAACTTTGATGAATTCCTACAGTTACAGCCAGTGTAAAGGGAGGGAAACTGAGAGAAGGTAACAAGGAGAGATCAGAAGGGTGAATTAGGAGATCGTATTGTCCCAGCAGCCAAACATGTGGCATCTGTGCATGCCCAGGCAATATGTATTTATTTAAAAATTTGAGATTGAGTCTTCTTTTTTTATCTTCATCTAAGGACATGCGGGGGGGGGGGGGGGGGGGGGGGAGAGAGAGAGAGAGAGAGAGAGAGAGAACATCGATATTACTGGGAATTGAACCAGCAACCTTGGGGTGCACAGGACAACACTCAACCAACTATGTCACTCTGGCGGGGCTTGACTCTTCTTTTTTAAAGCAGACTTGGATGGATTCATAGAGTTTAGTTCTACTAGCATTAAAAATGATTTTAACAGCTGTATAAGACTTAATGTTGAAGAGGTCAAGTTCAGACTAGACAAGTAAAGTATATCCCAGAAGCATGTTGGATGTGGAGAAATTTCAGGATGGCATTGCCATATTTTGGAATCCTATATAATAAAAGCCTAATATGCTAAGTGTCTGGTCGTCTGGTAACCAGTTGACTGTTCAACCAATCAAAGCGTAATATGCTAATGATATGCTAAAGCCGCTCAACTGCTCACTGTGACGTGCCCTGACCATCAGGGGGTAGACAGTCGACTGGTCATTCAGTTGCTATGACATGCACTGACCACAAGGGAGCAGACGCTCTGACTGGTAA